CATGTTAAAACACTGACATAAAACATGAGTACATACTGTAGACCTAATCATAAAAAATTGAAATAGAAAAACCACATTATGATTTTTTAAATGTTAAAAATTTATTTTGAATCCGACTAAAATCAAATGAATGCCCGATGGCGTGCATTTTGATACTATTTTTTTTAGAACCACGCCCAAGAATTAGGCCTACGTTAAAATTAGGTGGGGCGCATAGCATCTAGTAGGCCTTCAATTATCCTCAATAGGAACAATTGGTATTGTTGAGTGACAGACATTTCGCTTCAGTCCTTCATATTTGTTCGACCATTGGAGGCTATGTTTGAAACCCGTCAGTGACAAGGATGCATCCAATGACGTGAATCACTGGTGATATGTCGGTGACACTTCCTTTTCAAATATTTACTTTAATAATACTAATTAGTCATAATAACGATAATAAAGGTGATAACAACAACAATATTAATAGTAATATTTATTTTAACAATACTTAATAGTAATAATACTAATATATTATTAATAACGATATTTAAATATCTATTTTGATAATACTAATTAGTAATAATAATGATATTGAATGTGATAATAGCAATAATAACTGCAATAATAAATTAAAGATGTTTATTTTTATAATAATAGTAATACTAATTAGTAATAATAATAATAATGATGATACTTATAAGACTAGGCCTACTTAGTAATAATAGGGTATGTAATAATATCGATAATAAAGGTGACAACAACAACAATAATAATAATAATAATAATAATAATAATAATAATAATAACGATAATATTAGAAAAATACCAATAAAACACCAATAACAATATTTTATAAATTACTATTATTAAAATAATAATAATAAGACTAATATATAATAATAATAATAATAATAATAACAATAACAATAATAATAATAATAATATAAATAAAAAAATTGAGAATTATTTATTATTTATCAGCAAAAATTTAAACATTACATAATGTTAATGCTAAGACTAATAATTAATATTAAAACTAACGGTAATAAAAACAAAAATAATAATAACAACAATAATAACAGCAGTAATAATAACAATAAGTAATACTTAAAGAATTAGTATTTTATACTTGATGAATTACTCCTTCAAAGTGTAGTAGTAGTAGTACCAGTAAATGACTTGTAGCCGAGTTGATTTGTGGCCGAGTTGACTGTAGCCAAACTTTTTGTGGCCGAGTTGACTTGTGGCCGAGTTGGATCAAATTCGTTTCAAATATTTCATTGCTTATAGTAAAAAGGAAATACATTAAAATGTACATAATTTTGTGGCTATTCTAACATTAGGTCCACTACTATAAATATAAAAAAAAATTGAAAAAAATGATAAACATAGTATTTTGATTACCTGTGTGTTAAAATCGTGATGTGATGAATTCTGTTTTTGAAAACAAATCAATGATGCATCTAAATTAGAGATGAAGAAAAACCAGAAATTTCAAATTTTCTTCTTAACTGTCGTTTATTACAGACATAGATGAATGCACAACGGTTGCTGATGCATGCGATGTAAATGCAAAATGTACTAACACTGAAGGGTCGTATGAATGTGACTGTAACGAAGGGTTTAGCGTTAATGGGACTCATTGTGACGACATTAATGAGTGTAACTTATCCAGACATGACTGTAACAAGAATGCTAATTGTAGTAACACTGAAGGAGGATATCAGTGTAAGTGTATCGAAGGGTTCGAGGGAGACGGAAGGATTTGTAACAGTAAGTCATTAGGTCATATTTGTAATCATATCTTGTATAATATTGTTTAGAAAAAAATGATGAGGGAAATAACTATCCTATGGGGATAAATGTATACGTAGTAGACCCAATGTTACCAATATTACTAAGATGAGAAGGTAGGAAAGGACAGTGATTATGATTGGAAGTTTGTTAGAATCAGTTTTAAATAAACCTGAATGAAATCTTAATGATCAGCGTCTATATTTTTATAAATAATATATAGTAAATTAAAAATATATTATATATAATTTATATGTTCATGTTGGTTTAATAAACCGTGAAAAGTATAAGTAAAGGTAAGGATAACTGTGAAGGTGGGAGACTATAATCCATAATTGTAGTGAGCGGCTCCACGCATTCAACTAGCCAACATTTAAATAAGTTAATAATAATTTGAAAGATAATTTGTTCGGACATTTCCTTTTAGAATTTATATTTAATCATATCTCTGTTAAATTTACTGCACAATTTATATTTTATTTCAAGAAATCAACGTGTGCGATACAAAGGAATGTCCAGAGTATTCTACCTGTTCAGAAGATCTTGAGGATTGCATTTGCAGAGATGGTTTCTATTCATCTATTACGGCCAATGGTACAGATACATGTAAAGGTATGTTTAGCATTATCTAAATCTACTTCTTTAAGGAACAGACTTACAAGGATACAAGTAATCATGCCATTTCGCATGGTTTCTAAATATTGGTTTATTTTCTCATTTAGTTAAATGCATTCTTTTAACATTTTTATAAGAAGCTCTTCTCAATTTGTCGTGTATATTTAAAAATGCTCATTCTGAATTTAATATATTTTGAATACATGCATAGTTTTAAATGATTGTTTAAATTGAATTAATTGGCTTATTGAGCAATTGATTAAGTGATAAAAATATTGGTTGCTAATGAAACTTTTTGGACTATTAATGGAATTCTTGAAAAACCGATAATATATTTTTAATTTGTTTTTAGATAAATGTATTGTTTCCATCGGTATTTGAACCGAATACCCTTTGATTACCGTTCGTACATTCTACCATTTGGTATGCATTGCAATCAGTGGTAGATTTTTATTAAAATGTATATAATACTGTGGGTACAGTACTTCTAATATATAAATATACAAAAACAAAATACTGATAAACTAAGTATTTTGATTAACTGTGTATTAAAATGGAGATGCGATGCGTCTGTCATATGCAACGAATGTTAATGGGGCACATATTAGGAACATAGTTACGAAGAAACCCCTCCATATTGATGAATGAAGATGCTAGTAAGTGTTTAATAAAAACGTATTGTTCCCATCGGAATCTGATACTGAGATTTCCCGATTACTGTTTGGATGCTTTACCAACTTATCTAATGAGACCAGTGGTGCAAACCCTTGTATTTGCCCATTAAAGTTTCTTAAGATAATGCTTTTGTTCAGATAACGAGATCTTCCAACTCCATCCAACTTGTTCGACGGGTCTACCATAAATTGACTGGTGACAATTCATTTCCGTCTATTGCTTCCAAACTTTGGAATGGTCTGCCAAATTTGCTCAGGTCTTGACATTCAGTTAGGCAGTTCAAAGCCTATCTAAAACACAACCTATTTCAATAGTCTCCTCTCACATTGCTTGAGATCTTATTTGTTTATTGTTTTGTTCGTTTTCTTATTTTTCTATTGAACTTTTTTTTTTGCTTCGAGCTACTGCTTTGTTGCATTATTTAATTTTGCACACTTCTTTTGGGTTTGGTTCTATGCAAGCTCTACTCAGGGATTTTGCTGACTTCAGTGGAAGTGCTATGTGACAAGTAACAAGTAAATGCGCAATACGCAATGTACATACTTAAGGCATTTAATACTAATTTTTGTTATGAAAAAACACCTCCATTGGTGGTAAATATGATAATACTTGTATGTATTATTACTATCATTGGTAAATTATCAAAATGCCATTAAACATTGTTTGTATTTCGTTTCTTTATAGCCTAATTATAATGTAGCTCTATCCTTTTTTAATATCATATTGTATATGTCTTTTATATAATTATAATGTTGCTCTATCCTTTTGTATTATCATATTGTATAGTTTTTTTTTAAATTATTCTAATTATTAATTATTTCTAATATACTCAAAATTCTTGTGTATTTCAATAATGTATTTGTTCTGTTTGGTGATCCTGGTTTATATTATATATGTATTTTATGCAAGCCTTTTAGCTTTGTACACTTTGTATTGTTGTTTTTTTTATACCTTAATAAATAAATGAAATCCAGGTGCTATACAGATAGTTCGACTGATTAAGTGATTCAGCAGGGGTGGCACAGGATTTGCCCGACGAGAGTCCGAGGTCCCTGACATGGGGTGGGGGCCATTTCCCCGATGAGAGCAAAGTGGGTGTGGTCGAGCATTGCTTAAAATGTTTCGGAAGTGGTCCAGTGGGCAAAGCACCCAAAAAATCTTGAAAATTTAGGGGTTTCAAAGGCTTATTTAATCGATTTTAGAGTTTACTAATATTTAGAAAATACATATAATTTATTTTTCTCCCCGACGAATTGTGATTTTCCTCCCCGACAGGGTGACCAGCTCTCCCCGACGGGGTCCCCGCTGGCGCCACCCCTGTTACTCAGTTGATTAAATGGAACTATTGATAGATTGAATAAAGTAATGGCATAGGCCTATCAAGGAAACTATGACTTTTTGAGTATTTGATTTATTGGTCATTGATACCAGCAGTTGACGGATAATGTTCTGACTATAAACAATAATATTTTGATTGTTATTTATTTTAATTAATAATGTAGATGTTAACGAGTGTTCAAACAATGCGACGTTGTGTTGGCCTAACTCAACTTGTAGAAATGATCCTGGGACGTTTGAATGCGTTTGCAACAGTGGCTTTATGAAGGATGGAGAAACATGCCAAGGTTAGTATAAATTATTTTTTGAAATAACAATGTTTAATTAATTAAAAATAAAAATTCAGTAGTCTATTTCGTGAATACTTACCTGGATAAACCGACTAATTGCCATTGTTCCCAAACGGAACACCCCTTCGAAATAAATGGAACAGTCCGACCCAGGGCGCCACGTACGAACCGTCTCCCTAACAAATGTCTTCATTCCCTTTTCGACCTTCGTTGGAAAGTGAACCTCCTTCAGAGTGCTCTATCATAGAGTTGTTCCGTACGTGTTAGCGTGTTCGTGTTCGCGATACTGCGATAAGGATTTTCAGCCTTGGAGTTTAATTTCAAGAAGTTTTTTGATTTGGGTGTGACAAAGTTATCTAACATGAGAGGATTTAATTATTACCCCTATTTTTATAATAATTTAAACACAATTAAATCACAAAAAAGATCAACTGTTAAAGAAGTTACAGTAGAAAAATAGGTAAAATCCCAAAGAGGGGAGAAACAAATTACAAACAAAAATTGTTGAAAAAATACAAAAACAAAAAAACAGAAAAACAATGCATTGTATGTAAACTTCAATTTGGCTTGTGCGATTTGAGCTATGTTGCTTATCAACACGTTAGATAACATATAAAGGGAAAGATAGGTATACATGGTGTAAGCAACTTTACTGTATTATTTTCAGATATCAATGAGTGTCTTCTTGGAATTAGCGACTGCACTCAAGAGTGCACTAATACAGCTCCAGGCTATATTTGCTCATGTTTGGATGCATTTAAACTTGAACAAGATAATGTAACGTGTACCGGTACGTATTTACATACCCCTACACACCCAAAACACACATGCACACCCACACCCACCCACGTTATTTGAATCTGTACAGCCGTGAAGCCTATGCGGTCTGACGGTTATGATGCTCGCGAGATGTTGCAGGTTTGAATCCCGTATTAGGCATTTTATTACACAATTTCTTTATTTTTTTATAGAACAACATTCGTCGAGAGCTATGTTACACGCTGTATTTTCATGTCTTCTTAATATGCAACCAGTAAAACAACATGAACAGTTTTCTACACCTAATCTATGAATAATCAAAAGGCTATTTTTCATTATCAGCTTAATTTCATTCAAGTGCTTACTTAATAATGTTACCAGTTGTATATTTACCTGATGAGTGTAGTCAGTTCTTCTGAATATACATTTGTAGTTGAATAAAAATATGAAAAGTAAAGAAATTTACATCTATTTCTGTTAATTATTTAGCTCTACATTAATATTGAGCACTCATATATATATAGAAAAATATGGAGACGATGGTAAATGAAAATACAGACATCGAAGGTAGACTTAAGGAACACAAAAATATTTATTATAAGTAATAATATATTATTATATATTTATATTAATATTTAATATTAATATTTATATATACATACATATATATATATATATATATTATATATAGGTATGTATACAATATTTTATATTTAACTTATGCACATTTTTAAGTGGGATTATTAACAGAAATTTTAAATATATCTAATAATGATAATAATATGAGTATTATATTCTACTGTTACTGTAATTATTACAATATTTATATATAATTGTATTATTATGATTATTATTATTATTATTGTTATTATTAATGTTAGTGTTTTAAGCTCATCTTCCAATCTATAAATGGTTTTTCAGACACCAATGTGTCTCTAATTTTAATTAGAGACACATTGGTTTACAAAACATTCCCTTATTCTCAGTTTCAGAAAATTCAACATGCAACAATGAAACTATTTGTGGCCTCGGAATATGTTACGTTTTAGATGGAAATGACACGTGTTCGTGTAACAACGGTTTTGACTTTGTCAATAATACATGTATAGGTAGGTAAACACGTATAGCTTTAAATTTGGAAGTAAATTTATATGCTATGTACTATGAATGTAAGAAAATGTAACATTAGGCCTCAGTTTAGTTTTCTCAATAAAGCATTGACTACAGTACAGACAACTAGTATTATCTAAGGCAATTAATAAATTATGCAAGATATCATTGATGACCTGATTATTGTGTTTGCTAATTAATTCAAACCGTTGGAGTAAGTGTGTATGGATTGGTACAGGGAACACTTGGAGTTCCTTCTGAAAGGCTTTCTTTTTTGAGTGCACTTTGCTGTGTTTTGGAGACCATTTATTGGGTTATGCGGGTCATTAGGACCTTAGTGAAGTAACTCTCCTACCTCTTGACACATATTTCGATTAGATTTCATTTAGCCGTGGTCTCCATTTATCCACCATGGTCCCCGTTTCAACGTCTGTTGGAGACCAAACCCATAGACCACATCATTTTATCAAGTACCAACAGTTGAACTGTATTATAGTAAAATTATGCACTGAAATACACATAAGGCCAATAGTAGACACTTGATTTATATTTCTTACGAGACACTTATCTATTATGTCCTTTCTTTGAAGATTGAAGGTATAATTACAAGTAACCTGATTTTAACATATTTTGCTATTTCTCAGATATCAACGAATGCGATGGGAATAATTCATGCGAAATGGATTGTATAAATACGTTAGGTGGCTACAATTGCAGTTGTTCAAAAGGCTATGAGCTTGACGCCGATTTTAGAAATTGCATTGGTATGTACATAAATTGAAAAATCTTTCATACTATTACAAACTGTTAATAGGTGATTGAAGCAAATGGTGGCGCCAAGATTTTCCAAAGCGTAGGCTATATAGTGAGGGTGGGATAGCTAATATGTCGACAGAGACTCTGACAATTTCGGAGACGAAGGGAAACTACAATAGAGGCAAAAACCTGGTGGGGTGGTTATTTAAATTATTATTTTAAATGATAAATTATTATTATTATTATTATTAATAGTGTTATTATTATTGTTATTATTGTTATTATTATTATTATTATAATTATTATTATACTATAATGCTAGTATGGTGATTGTTTCAGATGTTAATGAATGTCTATCTGACAATACAAATAATTGTTCAGAAGATGCAGATTGTGTTAACATTGATGGCGGATTTAACTGCGCATGTTCGATAGGATACAACGGAACTGGTTACATATGTGAAGGTAAGAAATTATAAAGTCATCTAAAAATACATAACAGTATGTTTATCTCAATATATATTGCTAATATAATCATTTTAGGAGCTTAATTAACTTTATCAAATAAAAATAACAATGACTTATAATTGTGTAAAACAGAGACAGGTAAGACATCTGACAAATCATGTTTTTTCTCATGTATGTTGGGCTTCAGATAATGCTCTACTTCAAAATTTAAGTAAACTTTGTCCAGACTGACAGATTATAATTTTGATAATTTATTTGTTCGTTTAGACATCAACGAATGTGCCAATCAGCCGTGTTCCAATAACAGTAAATGCAACAATACAATTGGATCCTACACTTGTCGATGCGATGACGGATATATACTAAATGAAGGGGAATGCGAAGGTATACTAAATCCTGGCATCATAGTACGGCAGTCGGCCAACAAATCTATCTTCCTTCCGTGTTAGCGCTTGGCGTCGCGATGCTGTCTGCTGATTGTTGAGGGCAGGCTGAGCGTAGGGTGTTTGAAAACGTCAAAGTTGTATCAGTTGGCTGATAACAATATTGGCGCAGTGTGTGATGGGCTTTAATTTACACTATGTTTTACTAGGCCTACCATTTCGTACAGTGTTATTTTGCTAATATTCGAACATAGTAAAACTAACATTCCTGAAAGTTTATACTGGAAGTAATTACATTGTTGTTAATGCATAATAAATATTACTATAAACAATAATGATGATAACCATGCCTATCAGTACTGTACTTAGGTCTATGTTTAAAATCGTTTTGAGCTGTATGTTTTCTGTATCAATAATATTTTTGAATTCAAACTTGTAAATAACCTTGTGAGGTGCCACTGTTCATAATGTTGAATACAAGAATCAATGCAACAGCCCTCTCTAAATCTGTATAGTTTTGAAACCCAAACTATTTGTGGTGTCGCCAATATATTTAATTCCAGAAAATATGATTCGTCACAACAATCAATACGTAAATACTAATATGCCTAGTTTTTATAATTATTTTTTAAAGATTTCAACGAATGTGTTTCGACCGAAAGATGCGATAGTAACGAACTTTGCAAAAATTTTCCCGGAGGCTTTGAATGTGAATGCAAGGCTGGGTATACAATAAATGCAACAGAATGTGAAGGTAACACCAAAGAGTATAGAATTGTAAGAAATCCAACTGCTTTGATTTTGTATGCACGCAGTAAAACGTTAATTAAGTACTACCATGAAATAGGGGCACCCTATTAGAGTTCGAATAGGGTTTTAAAACTCGACACAGCACTTGTACGGAACGAAAGCCTTTTCTTTCTTTTGAAGGACGCCCTCTAATTCAGGGGCGGATCAAGAATTTTTTTAATGGGGGAGGGGCACAACATATTGAGAATAGATAACTGAGAGCGCTAATTTCAATATATGCCTTGAAAATGTTAAAATTTAGTGGCAAAACGGGGGGAGGGGCAGTTCCCCCGTGCCCCCTTGTTTGTGGTACTACTTTCTAAAATATGATTGCGGTCCAATGAAACCACTAGAGTTTGACCTCCTGCAGTTCTCTATTCTTTGGAAACATTGTGTGAGTGATGTTGATAATACAAAATGTGTGTTCTTAATGTACTTGTGTTTATAAGTATGAAAGGTAGGGAGGTGAAACAATGCGTGCAAGCTTAGTAGGAAATGAGCAAAAGTAGTGTGAGCGATAATAGTGAGAGTGGTGAGTGGTGCCTTTTCACGATAGAGGAGTGGTGTGAATTTGTTAGAATGATATGCATTTTTTAAATAATTACATTAAAGAATTTAAAATAAATTATAGGTTCGAAAAAAAAATCTTAATCAGAGGTAACCCTTAAAAGTTGGAAGGCTGTCGGGTACTTCTGTTGGTGATGGTGGTCCACCGGGAACAATTCCCTGCTCTTTTCCAAAGAGTTTACTGCGTAACATGCACAATAGGCAAAAAACAAAAAAATAAACAAAAAAACAAATAAATAAGAAATAGAGACAGTGCACTTTTTTGAATCGCTACCATTTGTGAACACACAATTACCACTAGTTGAGCCGTTGGAAAATCTAAAAAATACCCCTCAACAACTCAATAATAAACGTGATTGATTATTAAGGAACATATGAAAATAGACATTTCACTTACAAAATCGTTGAATGCTAGGTTAGGCTTTAATCACTTGAAAGTTAAATGTCCTCATTATTATTTTCCAGATATCAATGAATGTAATGAAGACCCATGTGACGTAAATGCGAAATGCGAAAACACAGAAGGATCATTTCTATGTTTTTGTAATAAAGGGTATTACGGCAACGGGAAGTTTTGTGAGAATTATAACGAATGCGCTAATTCAACTATATGCGGTAAATACGCTGATTCAACAAAACAGGGAATTATAAACTAAATTTTTATTTTCTTCCTTTCGATTGTTAAGATGTGTATAAGAGACAGCACACACACACATAAAGGAAAAGTTCATCAATAAATCACGATACGGTGTAGAGATAAACTCCAAAGTGGCTTGCAGTAATGCTATAATGATATATATAAAGTTTGAATGTTAAATAAATAGAATGTCCGAAGATAACTTGTTTGGCTTACGATGATCTTCCCTGCGGCAGACATGCCTAAGTCATCACAGTCGGCCATAATGAATTTGTAAATCAATTGAGCAACATCTTGTTATATTTAGCAATCTGATGTTGGTCTTTTTTTCTGTGCCACCATTTGATATTTTTAATATGGCATAGACATCTTTGCTGGAAGTGACCCATTTTGCCCAGATGGTGTGCTAGATGTTTCCCATATTTCCATGTGGATCCGTACAGGATCCACATGGAAATATTACGATTGTGTTAAAGACTCTGAACTTAGTTTGGTTTTAATTCCGTTGCTGTCCCAGACCCGTTTGCTTTCTGTTTATCAATTTCAATATTTTAGATACTGGTCCTCCCAGGTAAATAAAATTCTCAGTTGAATTTAAGGTGTACATTCTCATTTATTGAATAGTGCTTTAAATGTGTGAGATTTTGTTTGTCAATACGAATTTCATAAACATTTTATCAGGAGCTTATACATATCACTTTTTAGATATTAACGAATGCGAGACAGAATCAAATTGTCCTGAAAACTCAAATTGCTTTAACATAAATGGAAGTTATTATTGTGAATGTAAAGATGGCTATGACGGCTACGACAGTGATCGCTCATGCAAAAGTAAGTATAACGATGTACTGATTGATATATTTTAAATATATCAATCAGTTGCCCTGCTCCCCTAAAAAAGGGGAGCAGGGCAAAACAGCAAAAAACCAAAACGGCAATGACCAAAACGGCAACAAACCAAAACGGCAAAAATAAGTACCAAAATGGCTATAGACCAAAACAAATTAGCAGAAAATATTCCAACTGGCAATAGGCCTATATATTTTATATTTTATTTATTTAATATGTTTTATATATTATTTTTATATTATATAAGTTTTTTGTATAATAAATGTAATTAATTCAATCTAATTGCAATCCTCATTCTCGACCACCCCCCCCCCAACCCACGAAAATATCTCTGGTCCATCTACTGCAGTCAATCACAATACTCCAGTGATAATTTATGGATGTATAGACAGTGGCGGCACCATCGGGGGGGTGGGGACTTAAGCCCCCCATCGGTCTTGTCAAGCCGGCCCCCACCCATCGGCCAAAGCTCGTCGGGCAGTCGGACCAAAAAAAAAAAAATTAGAAAAAAAATTGGCCTAGTTTTCCTATCCCAGCCATTTCAAGCCATCTAGAAGTCTCAATTTTTTTTTTTTTAATCTCGTTTTGGGAGTGGGGGCACCCCCTCCCATACCCAACCCTGGCTCCAGCCTTCGGCCCTCAGATAACGCTGCGCGTTATAGTTACACCCATAAATACTTAGTGTCCATTCGGACACCTTAGCCCCCCCCCATAAATTATATCCAGAGCCACCACAGTGTATAGGGCTAACAAAATCTTATAAGATTTTACATGCCTATTATTGTGTTTGAAAAAAATGAAGGATATGCTTCTTTTTAACCATTTTATTATCAATACGCAAGTCAATGAGAGTTCTAGTTCGTCGACAATGTTGTTGTATAGGCAAGATATACAGACAGCATATGTTTCTGTTTACATTTCTTATGAAAAGTTGACTTGAAGTCAACTTTTCATTAGAATCCTTTACGAATGCAACATATGCGAGTTCAGTAAACAAAAAGTCACTAAATCGCTAAATCGCGGTTTCCTGTCAAATAGTGGAAAATCGATGTATCACATGAAAATTCAATAGTCGGTTTCCTGTCCAAAACTGTTTTGCGACGATTTTAGTTTACGTTATGTCGATTTCACAACACACCAGTCGCAATCGGTTTCCTGTCAAATCGCATTTTCTTACGATAAAACGATGTAATCGTAAGTAAATCTGCCTTCTTACGTCGACAGGAAACCAGGCTTTACCGGCACTCGCCGCGTTGTACAACGCTTGTACAACTGCCGCATGACGAATCCATCCTACTTTCTGTGAGTGCTAGATTGCGAAGCCATCTGCTTAACCACCAAGCTAATCTACTCTACTTCACTACACTATTAAATCGATCACTACTACACCACTACCACCACATTACATTATTAATATCACTGCTGCTTTTACTATGACTACATTTAAAGCTACAGCTACTATTACCAGTACTACCACAACCACTACTACTAATACCACCACCACCACCACTACTACTGTTGCTATAGACTACTACTGTCACTACTACTATTACTACTACTTCTATTACTACTAATGTTACTAGCTACTAAAACAACTACTACTACTACTACTACTACTACTACTACTACTTCTACTACTACTGCTGCTGCTACTACTGCTGCTGCTACTATAGTACTGCTACTGCTACTGCTATTGTTGTTGTTGTTGCCACAGCTACAACTACAACTATTTCTAATACAACTACCACAAGTATTCAACAAAACAGGGAATTATAAACTAAATTTTTATTTTCTTCCTTTCGATTGTTATTCACAATTAGATGTTAATGAGTGTGAGTTTGACTTGGATAACTGCGAGGACCAAAGAGCCAATTGCAGTGACACTGATGGCTCATATGAATGTAATTGTAACAAAGGTTTTGTTGGTAATGGAACGTATTGTGAGGGTAAGTTTCAATCAACCTACACTATGTCTTTTACAGTAAGACAAACGTACATTTCTTAGCAGTTTTAAGGAATAACAATGGATTTTCCAATTACTCATTATTCTTATCATTTGTATAACTGCATCATTCATGACAACATTGTCATTTTTATTACTTGAACACGTATATTTGAATACCTAAGACGGCTAGTACTTTTTTACCTTTACACGCATAAATTATAATTATACATTTCTCTCCAGCTCAAATATGACTGAAACTCATTGAATTCAAACATGGATAGAGAAATTGCATAATTAACATTCACTTAAAACAATTTATCAGATATAAGTTTTGTTTTATAGATGACAGTCGTGTAAAAATAAAACAATCTGGTTTGACCAAACCATAAAAAAATCACATGTCAACAACTTTATTTGCAACTCTCTGATTTTTTTGGTAAATTCACAAAATAAAGATTTTAGACAATCCTTTATTCTCTAAAATCTCATCTAATGTGACACTGGTCCTATCAGTGACTGGATGTATGAGAACTATATGCAGGTGCGAAGCAATTCTTTGCATACAGTGGCACAAAGGGAATTCTATGCATTTAGATAGTTATTATCTTGTTCTCTTTTAAACAAAATTTGTAGGACATTATTATATAAAATTGGAATATTACATCGTGTTATATAGCCACTCCCTTTGAGCCCTCTGGATTTGTAGGCTACCTCGTTTAATAACAAAACACAAAATCAAATTCAAAGGAAATACATGTTAGAACAAAATACGAAACAAAACCAAATGTAATAATTTCACATGATTGTCGGTATATCCCTGAGTGGCAGAAACATTCAACTAAATTAATCAGTGTTCTTAAAGTCTAGCTGTGAACATATAATGTATAGAGATTGCTGAACATTTAAAACTCAATGAAATTGATATAGTTTTGACGATGTTCTCTATTTAGTAACTATTTTAATCATTTAAGGCCATTTTGAAAAAAAATTGATATGTATTTTAAAATTATTAGATGTGAACGAGTGCCTTAGTACACCATGCAATACAAGTCTGTTCGAGAAATGCGACAACACGATTGGCGGTTTTAACTGTATTTGTCAGACGGGTTACTATCGTAGTAATTCAGGTTTACCATGTACAGGTGCTGGTATAATAATATTATTATTATTATTATTATTATTATTATTATTATTATTATTATTATTAAAATTATTATTGAAATTATTATTATTATCCGAGTTACTGATAATAAAGAAAACTGTAATAACAAATATCTTCAAAAATGACGAAAACGTTATCGTCTGAGACAGCTTTTTCAATTGAGGCTCTAAAACTCGAACCACACATTAAACATTCCTGCCGTTCGTACTTACCCTGGCTAGCACTGTTGAAGTCAAGTGGTTTGCGTTATGTTATAGCCTATGTGTTAATATTATTTTATTGCTTGTAAATATAAATGTATTAAAAAGTATGTATGCATTCTGGGTGCTTTTCATCATCTGATGCTAACATTAGGCCACCAGTTAAATATAATGAAATATAACATGAAGTACCATAGAATGTTTTATTTCATTAATTTCTTTTTTAACTTATAGTTGCAGTTACTCAAGAACTGAATGTTAACTTCACTGATGTAAAAGGTGTAAATATCAAAAAGTCTGAAAATCAGAATTTTAATTTAGATATGATGAAAGAGGGCCTTGCAAAAGACGTAAGTTTAACCATGACTTTTTGTTGTTAAATGCAGTTTTTACCTTAACTTTTTTTTAAAAGAAATGTATAAATGATTATAGGCAAACAGTATGAATGAAATACTGTATGTTATAAGCACCTTCACTGAACTGCTAAATGTGTAGTAGGTTGTGACGCATAATGTTTATTGTTATATGTTAGTTTACAAAAGCCGATGTATATTGCCAAAGAAAAACATAATTTCTGGTTTTATATGATCAAGCAAAAATTGGTATATAAAAACAAATATTTTATATTACCAAGTAGCATTTTACCATTTTCAGAAAATAATGCATTCATTATATCTTTCTATTAGTAAACTTTAAATTATTTTCTTTCAATAATATTAAACAATAACAATATATTAAATTAACAATAAAAATAACATAATAATTTGCTAGTTCATGGGTTTATTGTCAACCATCAGGTACCAAATAACTTGTAATTATTAAAATGGAATCATTTCGTAAAAAATCCATGGTAAAGTTATTTAAGCTAGTTGCATCTTGGAAATTGGTCTTTCAAACAATATTCTATTATTTTGGGCTCTTCGTTAGTAAAATATATCATAAAAAAAAGCTTGCAATCACACTTGAGTCATGTTTAGAATAACTAATCAACTATTTGGATTTCAGTCTCTTACAACTTCATTTTAAGATTTAAGTATTTTGCTTATGATGGAGCAAAGAATAGTAATAACACTTTTGAACCATCAGTTTATTCTTAAGAACTCACAATTGTATCTTATTTCAATTATACAAAATAATTTAAATTAAAAAAGAGCTGTACCTCTAGATGTTTTGCAAAAATTATGTGCAATATATCTTCTTTTTTTTTTTTTTTTTTGAATTTACAGATTAAAGGGTAATACCCGAGCCTAGTACAGTAAAAGTCGAATTGTGTACAAACATATTTCTTAAAATGAACCAATACATTTTGGAACAATGCACAGTATCACGACAGCTTGCATTGTTTTTGGTATCAAACTTACAGTAAAGTCTCTCTAGAAATTATATTCATGATGAACATTGTAATCCATATTTCAATCATACAAAAGACTTTCTAAATATTCTGTAATTGTGTTATTTCCACAGGTTCTTGATCTTTTTAAACGAAGTAATAGCAGCAGTCAGTTCTTAAATGTTCATGTTTCATCGTTCACCATTTTGGAATCAGTAGCAGACGTAACCTTTCTAATTGATCTAATATCAGACACTAACATCACAACAACTGACACAAGAAAATTGTTCGTAGATGGATTGGAAGGACGTAATGGCAATCTTCTACGACCCGACAGTTACGTTGTTCTCAATAGCTTACTAGTTGATGTACCAGGTTCGTTTATTTTTTCTCTACAGTGTCATGTTAGTGTTTGGGTTATATACTGATTTGATTTTCATTATCATCATCCACATTATCGTCCCTATTATCATCACCATCACCATCATGATAATCATTATCATTATTTTTATGATCATCATCAACTTCATTATTATCATCATTATATTATCTTCACTATCGTCATCATCATCATCATCCATCTTCATCTTCATTATCATCTATCCCCCGTTTTTCAACTCGTGATTTTCAAGTCTTCTGGATATCTTCCTTTATCTTATGCGATCTGATACTGCCTATAGCTTCACCATTATCATTCATGCTTAACGGATACCCTTCCATCTAGTTCTTGTTGATCCTCTCGGTTTCGAACTCGTTGGTCTATGTCTGGGCCCATACATGGGTCCTTGGTCTGATAATCATATATTTATTTTATATTAATCATACACCGGTAACCCACTACTAAAATAAATGTACTGTAGTAAATAAATATACACATACAGTACCACAGATTATTTATTACAAACACTATATTTTTACACTAACAGCAGTAGAGACATTATTATGAGAGTGTGTTGGGTTCCAACTGTTAAATAAATCATCTGATGATAAAACAATAACATTTATAAGCACAGCGTAAGAACACATTCAACACTGTCTGTGAGATTAGACAGTCTGGTGTTAATTAATACCAGATGTATGGCCTTCTTTTGATGTTGTTTTGAATCTGGAAATTTCATAAGAGTGATGTTTTTCCCTACCTGATATGTTATCGTACTGAATAGGCCTCCTTCGATGTTGTTTGGTCCTGTAGACGTATGCCTTGAATGAGCTCTCCTACCGGTGTGGCTCAAACAGTTCAAACATTGTTGCGACACCATTTTCAAACCAACTTTTTTTTAATTGCATCTAGTAAACTTACATAATCGTACAACGTATAATCTCAATTATCAACACGTCCCCGCACATAACATTAAGCACAGGAACAGAACCCAGAATAATGCACACGGCGGGGAAAATTTGGGCGCTATTGTCCAATACATTAACCTTTGCAATGGATTCGCTGGGAATTTGAAAGTAAATATTATCTTATTTTGAAAGGTACTAAATTCAATCATCTTTTGAAATATTTGGAATCCGCTTTTTTAAACTGAAAAAAAAATTGCATTCTGTTCTTTGTAGAATAGGAAATGGGCATGCTTTGTGTCGATTTAAAAGAGGTTATTCGTTCATTTCATTTCAAAAACATTTATTCAATCAAATCAAATCAATCAATCAGTAATAACAATATAACAAATTAATTATCAATCAATTAATTCAGTATAACAAGTAGAATAAATAATCAATAGCAAAGATATATAGTTAGAATAAATGGAAATGGATAATCAAACCAATCAATCAATAATAGCAAAACAGTATTGTTTTCATTTATGAGTTTGAATTTGATTCGGATAATTTCTAGAAGTTTTGAAGAAAAATTGTTTTGAGATGCCCTAAACGTAAGAGAAAAAATAGTAAAATGAATAGAAATAATAGTGAATTAAAAGTAATGATGATATTAATAATAATAATAATAATAATAATAATGAAATAGTAAAAAATATAATAATATTACAGTAATAAAGGTAATAATAATAATAATAATAATAATAATAATTGGCTCAAGTGTGACTGCATTTTACATTTAAATTTTATATGCTATTTCGCTAACTGCTAGTAACAGTTCACTGTGTAGGTTTATGGTGTGTGCATTAACTGTATTTCATCCATTTAATTTAAAAAAAAAAACACCCACAAAGCTTTCCATATGTGTATTTAGGTACCTTGCAAGTGGCCCTTACCAGGACATCAACCAACGTTTTTACATATCCTGTTTAGGTATCATTTGCTTTTCGGGATTTTGGTATAAACAAAAAGTACCATAAGAGATGCAAAACAAAATGTCATCTTTATTAATAATATTTTATAAAAATAATTGCGTTCAAGTTGACCCGATGTTTTATAACGATTTTGCATTTATATTTCAGTTATAAATCCATGTAAAGAAGATTTGCATGATTGCTATGAAAGAAACTTTCTCAAATGCAATTTCAACGAGATAGATAAGAACTACACCTGTTCAGATTGCATAGAAGGGTACAATGCGTCTCAGACAAACAGCAATAGCATATGTATTGGTAAGATGTATTTTTTTGAAGATGGATAGATATATGTGAAAACCCCTTAAAACAGCATCCAAATAATGTCATGAGAACGTAAAGGAAAAGGAATCTAAAAAAAATCCACCGGGTTCAAACCCGACACCATTCGCATACAACGCAAACTCTATAACAGTACTTGGCGTTCTGTTGATTCAAACGCCAGTAAAATATGAATTCTTTCATTTCTCTTAACGAGTCTGACATCACAACAATGATGTACCACTGTACAGTACGTGATTTTATATTATTCTAGATCTATATGATATGCCCTGATTTGTGCAATATTAATATGTATATATCAATCATGTAGATTTGAGTTTTTTGTTATTGATTTCAAACGTATAGATATTGATGAGTGTAAAGGTGACCCATGTGATAAAGATCGACATGAACAAGACTGTGTAAATGAAGAAGGCAATTACTATTGTACTTGTGAATTTGGATACGTGAACACAACTACTAAAGGCAACTGCATAGGTATGTAACTATACTACACTAATTTTTCGACAGAAATTTTTGGCAACTGTTATTTTAATTTGGTGAACATTGTGCATGACAATAATGATTGAGTCCACGACACATTAGCTATTCAAGTAATTAGCTTTTAATGAATTACAATTGCAATTGTGACAACAAATTTCCACTGGGTGAACTGAGTGTCTTACCTATCAAAGGGCATAAGGAGTTTTTATAAATCAATTTTGTAATAATGGATTTTTCAAAGCCCTTCACTGATAAGTCCTATAAAGTGGCATTGTGCAGCTGCATTCACAGATATATGTTTGTGATACCTTACATGCGCGTAATTACCTGAACTGCGCCTTCCATGATTCTTGGTCACCTCACTATACAGTTTCTCTCCAAAGAATTTCCCAGTACATTTCCTACTGCTCAGTTATTCCTCTGTCTGCCTCTTCTTCTGCTGCCTGACGTGGTACCTTGTAGGATGGTCGTGGACAGGGTTTTGGCTCTGGTTACATGATTGTACCATTTGAACTTTAGCCCCTCTTTCACTAGGGGTTTTTGCAGCATTCGAGTTACAAGAGTTTGCCAAGTTCCTTACTCTGCAAACTCGGCAAAAACTTGTAGGACGATTCAGAAAGCTCGGAGAGAACTCTTACCTACAGGTAGCAGCTCAGAACTCGTGGCGCTAATCTTGAACATGTTCAAAATTATCACCACAATTAGATAACTCGTAGTAAACTTGAAGAACTCGTAGGTAGCTCGTAGAGTACTCGGGGTACTCCTACCTAGCTCGTACACTACTCTGGATACTCGTTGGCGGTTTTGTCATCTACGAGTTTGAGGCGAGCACCCCAAAGCGAGTACAAGTAAGTACGAGTGCACCGAGTTGGCTCGTACCTAACTCGTATCTAAATCGGTACAAACTTGTTACGCTCTTAATAATCTCGGTGCTCTGCTCAGCATAATTCGTACATAACTCGTAACCAACTCCATAAAGTCATACCTCACTCGTAGCTAACAGTAATAAGCTCGTATAGGTCCTTTCCAAGGATCACAAGTTTTTAACTCATAGAAATCGTGCGACTCTTAGGTGAAATAAACCTAGGTGGGAGAGGGGCTTCTCTCTTTTAGACAGTGGTCAGGAGATCTTCAAACAGGCCTGTCTTTTGTCCAATATAAACTAGATTACGTAAATAAAGTGCATACTGTATGATGGTTGCACAATTAGCCAGTTTGAGGGCCTAATGGCAAAACAGTCAATGCGGTACGGCGACTTGCTGTGGTGCACACTCTAGGTTTTACAGTATACATCCTATATAGGACTTCAGAATTTGTTTCCTCATGTTTGTTCGACCAGAGACCCAACCTTTAGGATACCTTTTTAAACTACTTTATTTGGACGACGTAAGGCATGTTAATATCGATATAAATTTAAATTCCTATTACAGAATCAAAGACATTTAGAGCAGAATCTACTATTGAAAAACTAGATGGCATTGAGGAGGTGAAGTGGACAGATGATCTGAAAAACAAAGAATCAGATAAATATAAACACTATTCATCAGCGTTATCTACATCTGTAAGTTACCTAAAATTCACTCAGTCGTTTTCCTATAATAGCATCTATGATAATAGCAATATGACAGTAATGATTATTAAATTAAATTTACACTTTGATTTGGCAAAAGTTACTACAGAATAGAAAGAACAAACAAGTGGAACAATTATTTTCATGTAA